TAGCATATTATTCCAGGACATGCCCATAAATATTTTCATATTTTCTAACAACAAACAAGCTAATACATATCGCATTTCATTTTCTTTATCGAAAAATAACGAACAAAAATATATGTTAGTTGCAGAAAATATTACGTATACGTCAAAAAATAAAAAGAAAAAAACATGTGGCTCATTCAAAGTTTGCTCATGCATGTGATTTATATGCAACTGTCGTAAATTTTTTTTATGCTTATTTGCTATTTCTATTCTATTTAAATAACAAATTTTGCAAATAGCTTTGAACAATGAATGCGTATGCAAAATAGACACGCCCCTCACACACATATAAATAGAAAAAAATATATATATATACATATATATATGTTCCTGCATTTATGCATATGAAATTTTTAGAATATAATAAAGATGCATAGCACATACATATGTTTAGCTAATATATATATGTGTATATAAATGTGTCGAAAATCTATGCAAAAACCGGGCTGAGTTATGTTAAAAATTTTCCTAAAAATAATATTATAAATGCATCAGTTTTGCTCAGATAAAAATATGCTGTTGAATATTTTCAGGCAAGTAAAAACTTAGTTTAGCCATGAAAATATGCTCGCTGCCAAATTAGCTTGGGCAAGGGTCAAAAAGAAAAAACTATAACAAAAGCAACTTAAAGCGAAGGTTGCAGCTGCAACAATTGAAATTGAAATGCAACACAGCAGCAGCTGTTGCAGTTTCTCTATGTATATGTAGGTTGCCTGTACAGGTGTGCGCGAGCATGTGTGTGTGTGTGTGTGTGTGTGGGTTTGTTAGCAGCACTCAGTGGGTGCTGTGTGGCTGTTGTTCTTGTTGCATTCGCATGCATAATAGAGAATGCAAAGCCAAAGCCAAAAGGCGCCAAGCACTCAACTAAGCTGAGGGTTGGCATTTCTTCGGATGAGCAGAGCAATATTTATATGCAAACGTATCTGACTGTTGCTCTAACTCACAAAGGGCATATTCGCTGTGAGTTGAATATGAATCAAAGACAATAATATTGAGATGAGCAGACTGTGAAGCTTTGTGGAAATCTAATAGTGTATATTGATAATTAATATTTGCAGGTCAAATTCCTAAAAAAAAACATATATTTAATAGTTAAATTTATTAATATACAAAATTTAGTTATATAATATATTTTAATATATACAAAAAAAGGTTTTTTTTTCGATAAACTTAATATATTATTTCAAATATATATATTTTTTCTTTATTCTCTTACTCTGTAATTTTATGTATTTATTAGTATTCTATATACTAGTTTTTCTATAGATACCACATTTATACTTTATTCAGTTAAATAATATATTTTAATATTTATAAAAAAATTTTTTTTAGATAAATTTAATATATTTTTTCAAATAGTATTTTTTTTTTTTTATTCTCTTACTCTGTAATTTTATGTATTTATTAATATTCTATATACTTCTTTTTCTATAGCTACCACTTTTATATTTTCTAAATAACAATAAATTACGACCGTTGCAAAAAGTCAGCAATAAACATATATAAGAACTCGATCAATATCAGGCCCATTCTTAGCTTTAATCAACGATCTCATAACTCCAACTCATCAACTCCACCTAACATTAAGCCACAGCTATTAATGACATCTCTACACATTTACCATACACATATCAACATGGAATTCATTGCAGCATATATTAGTGTATGAATTTAGCTATGGCTAAGCCTCTCGCATGAACACACACATACGCTCGAACATACACACATCATTCTCATATGCAAATAAATGCACCCCCAACAATTTCTATTCACAATGTTTGCTCGCCTACGTGTCCAGAGCTCCGCTTACAACCACCCGCATCCACTCTCTCTTCCTCTCTCCTGTGCCACATTTCTAGCCACTTTAATAAATGAAAAACCATCCACTTTTTGTTTACCTTCAAGTGTTTGTTCATGTGTGTTTATTGTTGCTGCTTTTTCTATGCATTTGTTGTTATTTTGATGACGCTTTTGTCACTGCCTGACGGGCTTTCACTTTCCCTAAAAATTCCCCCAAGGCCTCTGGACGCCTCTCATTTTGTATCGTGCCGTGGCGCTTGGTAAATAGAAATTTCACGTAATTATTATGGATAGTCAGTCTGTGCCTCCTATCTGTGTCATCAGCTCGTAATTTATTCTCGCTCTCTCTGTCTATCTGCATTTGCTGTCCCTTTCGGTATTGCTAACTAATTGGCTGTTGGCCTCGTCACATGCGAATCCCTCGTTTCTCACTGATTTCGATAGCCCCGAGACACGGGTGACTTTTCTCTATTTTTTTTTTTTTAAGGCTAATTGCATTACGGCACGCGCTTTAAAGTCAATGAACGCTTAGCTCGACATTTCTCACAAAGGCTCAAGCACGCAAATGTCAACAGCAAATTGCAACAAAAACCTAAAGGCAATAAACAATAAAAATGTCATATGTGGCATTTGTATTTGCATTTGCCTGCGCGCAGCTCTGAACATTTTTATCTTGTGCATAAAAATAAATGAAAAGTTTTGCGTTTTCAGTGCAATAAATAAACGAGACGTGGGTAAAGTACACTGGGAGAAAGACGAAATGAAAAAATTAAATAAAAAATAAATAAGGAGTGGAAAATAAATCTAAAAATATATACATTTGTTAACTTTAAAAAAATTCGTTTTTTTTTTATCGATTTTTTATGAATTTTTCCCTTATTTTACTATTAGTAATAAAATACAAGACCATTTTTATAAATATAGAGTATTTGAAATTTCATTTAATATATATACACAGATTTTTCTCAGTGTAATTGCTTTAGGTGCGCAAAAGTCAAAGCGTCGCCTACGCCCAATCAACCAAAAATATTTGCATGTGTGAAAAAAACCTAGCGAAGGCAACAGCTATACAAGGACAACTACCTCACCTTGGTACTCATAAAGCTAAAGGATTGTACACACATAGACACACAGATATACACAGCCACAAATAAAAGCGAAACACGAAAAACAATATGTCAAATGTTATTATACATTAAATTAGTTAAGAGTCATTGTAATAAAATGCACAAACAAACATGTGTAGGTATAATAAAGTTAAATGTCATGAGTGTGTGAGTGGGTGTGCGTGTCTGCATGTCACAGGCTTTGTTTGCTTGCCATCTCCTACTAACTCACTCTTCTCATATTGTCTCCCTCTCTTCTTATTTCATTGCTTGAGACGTTGTTACAACATTTGCCCAGCAGCAATTTGTCACGTGAATTTCACTTAGTTGTTGCTGTTATTGTTGTTGTTGTTTTGTTGTGTCACATTTTGGTTTGTTACTTTGAGCCCAGGCAAAGCCAACAAATTACAACTGTTTCGAGTCACACAAAATTTTGTTGCATGCTTTGAGGCGTTTCCTGTTTTGCTTTTGGGCGTTTTTACCTTGTTTTTTAGCATTTCTCTTTTGTGTTTACATTCAGAGCACAACAAAACATGACAGAATACAGCAAGATTTGTAGATACTCGATTGAATGATTGAATGGAATATTGAGAGCATTCCATGTATTGAATATATTCAACAAGTGTTTGTTAGCGAAGATTCATTTAAAATGTTAATGTGTGCTTAAAATGAAAAATTCATTTGTTAATTTTTTATAATTATTTTTTAACGAATTATTTATAATATATTAGAGAAGTTTAAAGATTTCAAATTATATAAACTCAAATTTATATAAATATTTGATAATTTCACTGAATTTTTGCATAAATATTTACAAAGGAAATTTTTGAAAAATGTTAGGTAAATAAATATAAATATATTTAAATTTAAAAAAATAAATATAAATATTTTAAATTAATAAATCAGTTTTATAAAATATGTTGTATGTATTAAATGTAATTTATAAATATCAAACAATGTGAAATCTATCTTATCAACTGCAACTTCGAGCTTAAGCATGTCTTTATGTATTCGTGTGTGTGTGTGTGTGTAATTAATAATCATCATTGATTTACTACAGAAATCCAATGGAAGCTTAACTCATAAATAAAAGCTATGCAGCATTTAACTGCAAAATTTATTTACTGTTAACATTGAAGCATTTAACTCACAGTCAAACAATGTCATTTAAATTGTATTAAATCATTTGAACGCTGAGCTATTGAAAACACATGAAATATTTGCAATGCTATTTGGATTTGAGCTGCTTAACTGAAGGAAGCACTTAGGGGAACAAAATGAGACCACTGTCTTTGTGAAATATAAATTCAAGTGATATTTAAGACCATAAAATAATAGAAATAATGGTAAAATTATAAATCAGTTTTGAATTAAATTGTATATTCAAAATGAATTAATGTGATTTAATATACCATACACAAAATATTATATAAAGCCCTGTTCTACCTCACAGCAAAATTTCTTATACAGCAAGAATATTTAAATAGAAATTAACAGCTAATAAATGTTTTAGCTAATGAATGAGCTATTCGAATTGCTTTTTGATTGCAAGTCGACTCCCTTTAGATACAAGCAGTACCTGGGGAAATGTGAGTGCACTTTATACACCTGCTCAGTCATGTGTATAGCATGCAACTCACTGACTACACACGCATACATGCATATATTTGTATAAATGCATTTTTACTGTATGGCGAAACAACAGGCAGCCGCAACGCCCTCACCAGCCCCTGCTTGTTGATTTTAGTTAATGAATTAAGTTTGTTTTTAAAACAATTTTTTTCTCTGTTTTTTAATGTGAGTGAAGCACTTGCAAGCATGCAATGTCTGCAATAAATAGAAAACAACACAAACAGCATGGAGTCAGAGGGAGAGAGCGAGACACGTTGCTTATGGCTTATTAAAAAGGTTACTAATTAGCAAAGGGCGTGGGAGACGACAACTTAAAGTGCAGCAGAGTGAATGGGGATATTGGATGGACATATATAATTGTGTTTCTTTATATTTTGGTTTTATTGGTTTTATTTGTAGTCTGTGGGCGTGTCAGACACTCACCTATCCCTCAGGCAAATTTTGAACTCATGCTGTGAGTCGTGGTCGCTGTTGCAGCTATCATTATAATTAACGGCAGCCTGACGTTCTCTTTCCTGTTGCTGTTGCAAGTTGATCAGCTGTTTGTGGAACAGTTCCTGCTGTGATTGCAGCAGTTCCTGATGATGATCCTGCAGCGCGGCCAAATGTGTTAATTGTTGCTGATATGGCGATTGCTGCTGTTGCTGCGTCTGCGGACTATGTTGCTGTGATTGTTGCTGTTGTTGCTGCTGCTGCTGCTGCTGTTGTTGTTGCTGCTGTTGCTGTTGTTGCTGATGCTGCTGCTGCACCGCAGGTGAGACTGGCCGCAACGGTCGCTGATAGGGATGATGATAATGCTGCTGCTGATGTCTGACAGGCGCATGACCGTTACTCGATTTGCCCGCCTGTGCACTATGATTGAGCAGGTGCACATTTTGGCTGCTACGTCGATGCGTTAACAGTGTTAAACAGCTTTTCGTATCCACATCGGCCAGCCCGAACTCTAGCTCCGCTTGCGCCTGCTGTTCGTAAGCATGCTGCGCCTGCTGCAATCTTTCACGTTCGCTGCGCGGCGAATTGGCCAATTGTTCGGCAGGTGGTTCGATCTCAACAGCTGAATAGTCATAGTCCAGCTGGTGCCGTGTACCATGATGATGCTGATGCGCCGGATGGTGTGCATTATTTGTTGGCTTATTGCCTGTGGCATTGGCCGTCACGGCGCCGGTGCCCGGCGTCGCTTTGGCTATTTTACCAGCCAGCGCGTCCAGAGAGCTGAGCATGATCCTCTTGTTAACCAATTGCGGTGCCTGCTCTGCTTCGCCGAGAGCTCTCTAGCTTTGAGTATTTATATATATATAAATGATTATATATGCAGGTGAGATATATATATATATATATATATGGTTGGGTATATATATATATATATATATACCTGACACACTCTGGCTGTGGTTGCTAAATGCCTCTATTGATTTCTCTTACGCCCTCCAATATTTTGCAAATTCCACGCAATATTTTTATGCTCTTTACTTTTTTGTACCGCTTCCCGTTTGATTGTTGTTGTTTTCTTTATTTGTATAGAAGGATAGATATTTTTTACTGCTGTCAGAGATTTCTTCTATTGTTGTTGTTATTGTTCACTTGAGTTTCTTTTATCTCTTCTCTTTCTTGCTTTTGCACTGTCTCTTTGTCTTCTGCTTAGCTATATTTGCCCTGTTTATTGTTTACTTGCCTGAGGGAGAAGTTGGGAGGCAAATTGCAAATTGGATTAGTACAAATAAACGCCGAAAAAAACAACGTTATGTTATTAGTTAAAGATGGTTGTGCTGTGACGGCGACCTTGACAATCATTACAAACAAATAAAACACACACACATATACATACATACATATATATAGTACACATAAATTGTCGTAGTTTGCATACTTTCTTTCTCTTTCACTG